TTTTACTTTCATTTATTTTCATGCAGTATTGTTTTGTCAAAATTTAAATCGGTCGAATTTACAATCGCCGAGTTAATTAACAACAGAGATTTGCAGTAGGACTGCCGACCTTATGATCATGAAGTGTATTATTTATAGGCTCATTCAATCTTGGGAAAATCCATCCAGGGCAATGACTTACATATTTGTTTTGAGGGCAACTCATTATTTTTTTATATGTATATAAATTGCAGTTGTATTTTCCAAACGAAAAGAGTGAAAACAATTGCACTATATGTATATTTCTATCAATATTAGGTAATAATATTGATTGAGAAATTATCTCCTTTTAACTAATATAAATAGATATTTTTTAAAGAATTTTGAAATTCTATAGTTTAAAAGAACTTAACTTTTCCTTATAGCTGACTATACTATGAAATATTAAACACACTAAGCAATAAGGAACTCAAGATAGCCTGATAAAGAATTAATAAACATTAAAGATGAATATGTAAAAGATACAAGGACTTTCACTAAAAAACAGTTTTGGAGTTTTAAGGACAGCCAATTTAGAAATTTAATTTTCAACGCTACATATGCAGGTGAACAACTGCAAATATCTGCATCTAATATGAGTGCTACATTATTTTTTTTTGCTTAATCGTTTTACTAGAAATATTAACAAGAATTTTCGATTGATATTGATAAGGCAAAAAATTGAAATATCTGTTACAGGCTTGCTGTTACAAACGGAGAAAATAACTGGTTCCTTTAATAAAAGGTTGTCATTAGTAAAATTAACCAATCAAAACAACACTCAAAAATTCGGGATTTTTTTATCAATACAATAAATTAAAGTTAAGAGAATATAGAACTGAGTTTAAAGCATAACAGAATCGATTGATATCTCGCAAATCACTCAACCAAAAGTAAGGTTAGGGGTGAGATGGGAGGTTAGGGGGAATATGTACAAGGTTAAACCAACCCCCTCCTTCTTATCTCGCAAAAATTTTATGTGACATTAGGTTGAAATGGGAAGGGGAGAGGAGTTACAAGTTCAGACACCTTTTAAACAACCCTCTCCACCTCAACTAAATATTTACGGGACGATAACTTTAGCAACTCTTCCTCAGCCTTAGAATGCAAAATCCAATGCAAGAGGAGGTCGAAGGTGTGTGACAGGACGTTTTTTAAAACGTGTACGTTATTTTAAACACACATGTCTCCTCTCCCTCTCCCTAACCTAACTTTGTTGTATGATTTGCGAGATATCGATAAATTAATCATCCCGCAAATATTTCATATATTATTGGATCGAGGGTGACATGAGGGTTGTTTAAACCTTGTACATACATTTAACAACTCTCAATCCCCACCTCCCCCGTAACATAACTTTACTTGAAAGTTTTGCGAAATACCGAAAGCTGAAAAAGTATTAAGACTTCAAAAAAATCTCCATTACCTAAAGGAGAAAGTTAACCGTGTGTAAGTGACTAAAAAAATACTTTAATTAAGGAAAGCACATTCTACAACCTCTGCAACTTTTAGAAAAGTATCACTCGCAAATTATTAACATTTTTTTCATCTTTAAACTCATTATAGTAACATTCGTCTGATTATTTTAATTTTCATGAACCAAACATAGTTCAGCAGTTCCATTAGGTATTTCAATAAATAAACAATAATGCATTTAATCGACAATGGGGTATTTTCGTATGCTAAATACTTTGTGCTAAGATTTACATTTTGCGAGTGTCTTCGAAGGGCGAAATGGAACATGCTCCTCTGTTCGCCCTCGGGAGTGGTGACAGTGAACGAGGGCAAATGTAAATGGCTCATAGATCCTCTCCATGGAGAATCAGGTATGTGCAAGTTAAGAAAAGATCGACGACGTCTGGATGGGACGTCGGTGGGATTGTCAATGCTATGACGAGCTTTCGTAGAAGGTAGCGGAGAAGGCATTGCAATAAAGACGTCCCTGGTTTAAAAAATAGACTATGGGTATGGGCATAACAGGGAGCCTCGCCTGGGATCATCGCTCCAACCAAAGCATGGTACCTTTGACCCTCGCTTCGGATTCTCGCCTTTGTGTGGTCATATTGACACTCCTACCCTCGATCTGACCTATGCATTTTCGAGTCAGTTAATTCTGAACGAACGACAGATTAACATGCATTTCACTTCAAATGATAACACGTCCTCTTCATCAGATGAAGATATTTTATTTGATTCAACTGCTAAAAGGTTGTAGTTCTAGGAGGAAAATAAATGTGCAGCCGCTCTACAAAAAATGCTTCCAATATGGAGAATCTCATGCGGTATTCCTCTAGAACTTATTTGGAATGAAGCAACTGTGATGGTTTTTATTTTTTTATTATTCCAAATAGCCTCCCGAACAAACACAAGGTTGATTAATTTCTCCTTATCCTTTGTCGCATGCGCTATAGTCCAGGGTCAAAAAAACACTAAGGTTCGATGGTGGTGCCAGACGACTCAGTACTTTGCGCGGAGCGAGGGGTGTTGCTCAAAAATGACCATCTATTTATTTTTTTTTTGCGAGCGAAGCTATAGTGCTATGCTAGGGTTGAAGCGATGATCGGCGCCAGTATGGATACATTACAGTTATCCCGTTACGTACCTTAGTTTTTAATTTTTTATTGGTTATTAACCTTAAGTCCGTATATAGGACTCAAAACCAACAAGGGAAATTTTGTCAAACCGTAAATTAAAAATTTGCTAAGCTATAGATGGGTATAAAAAGAGAACACTTAAATATGTAGGTACTAGTTCTTAACTGAACCCAGATGGATAGATACTATTGTAGATGGTGTATAGCATATCCATTTCAATTATGGCGATCTCCAAAATATGTGATGATGAGGGTGAGTTTTGATGCTGCTTATGCATTTTTACGTATGTTTAGATCACGGATTTGTATAAGTGGGAAAAGTGGATGTTAGAAGAAAAGGAGAAAGAGGCAAGTAGGATACCTTCTGCGACATGACGGGTATGACACATTAGAAACAAAACCAACAGTAAAAGGGTTTCAGAGAAAGACTTAGATTGTACTACTGTTTCCAACGAGATATGGGATGTCGTAGAAATAATCACATTGATTCAAGATAGAAAAGAGTGGAGGTGCGTGTCCACCAGTTTTTGGACTGATGATCCTATGATGACTTTAGATTTCTAATAATCAGGAAAATATTACTTGAGTTTTGATCTGTATATGTATTTATAATTTCGTTTTATAACTCGCTAGATCTAGAAGATATAAATAAAAATTGTTTAAGTGCGAGTCGCACTAAGGGTTCTAAACTATAGGAAATCCTAAAATGTTTAAAGTACACAGTTTTCATCAAGATCAGAAATATTTTTCTGAATAATGATCAACAATGATCAAATATTAATGGGACGTTTTCGAATACTATTGAAATTACTTATTATTTTTTTTCTATTGTATAACGATCGATTTTTAATGTTTGTTGTTTAAATACAAGATTTGAGTAATATTGTACATAACTTATAGCTGCTGAGATAAAGCAGGTTTTCTAATAGGTAGATGATAATAATATCAAGAGAAGCCCAAAGGGGACATACATTTCGGCAGTACAGATCATAGATGTCGCAGCGGTGCATCTACACGGTAAGATGAATGGTACTGCTGTAAATTTGGGGTCGTGTGGATATCTCGAGAAGAGGTTGTTAGACAATAATAATTTTACGATTATAAATACGAATATAAAACGTATTTCCAGGTAAGAGGGATGGAAATGCGAGGATGGAAATAACAAGAGGTCAACGCAAAATAATCCAATCCTAACTTAATCTGCTAAAAAAAATTGTTAGAGTAATTAGAGTAATTCCTTTGCTTTTGTTTATCAGTATGTTTTTTAAAACTTTTGCTTTCTTTTTAATCGTCTCAAAACATTGCAGCTGCTAAAAACTAACACCAAATATTGGTTGCGTACAAGTTTAGAATTTTTTCACGTAATGCGTTTTGATTAAAACTTCCGTAAACATTATAATGAAGTGTGTTACTAATTTAGCGTTATCAGTACCTATAACAGAGGATACCGGAAAAGATAGGGGCAGAACAAAGCCTACTAACAGACATCGGAAACTCACCTGAATATATGAGGGTTATTTAAAGTAATCCTCGAATGATATAATTCATAAATAACTATTTTATTAATTACTTCAAGAAATAACAATTATTAAAGATTTCAACATGTACAATATGTTAAACAAAGTTACCATTACTATAAATCAAAAATTTATTAGAAAACATATATGTGGATATGCGAGTACAATATGTATAAATGTATTAATACATCATCAAAAGGTCGTCAGTCCTAAGACTGGTTAGACACGCACCTCCACTATTTTCTATCCTGAGCTAATTTCGCATTTCTCTAAAACTAGCACAACTCGTATCCTTAATTATTTGCGAACAGTAATCTAATCTAGGGCTACCTCTACCCCTCCTAACTTGCGTTTCTGCCTCTAATATGTGTCTGACTAGACCTTCATGTCCTATCTCGCTTATTTCTTATTGACTTCTAAAGAGTCCTCTGTTCTCCTATTCTTTCTAATACCATTTCTTCATTTCTAACCTTTTCTATCCACGGCATTCTCATCATTCAGCTATAACACCACATTTCGAACGCTTCTAACTTCTTTTCCGCCGCGCCCACTGTCCATGTTTCGAACCCGTACAGTGCCGCGCTCCAAACATACACTTTTTTGAAATTTGAAGTAATTAATAATTCAAGAATATTTGTTCTTTGGAAAATATCTGGTAGAATTTCTTGTTTAATAAATAACTGAATGGAATAAGAGAACTTTTCGAACACTTTTAACATCGAAAAAGTCTCACACCGCATTTTTTTATTAGCCAATGACTTTTATTTGAAACCTTTGATTAATCTTGCTTTACTAATAATACTTTAAATTCTTTTAAAAGTCGTAATACCATTTTACTTATAATTATGTGTGTAACATCAAACATTAAAACTATGTACTTGAAAAATAAGTTTTTCGATGTTTATAATTGATGTATTACTAACGTATGTAAAATTTTAATTTGAATTTTGGAACTAAACGTAAGTACTATATTTCTACTTATAACTGCACATCACACTTTATTACTATTTCCGTTCTATTTACGTAATAAAAAACACTTCAAAAAACCATTTATTATATTTATTTGATTTTAAATTAAACGTTTCCAAATACTTTTACGTATGTATATCTATATGTAACAAATGGTTCACTTGAAACTTAATAGACTATAAGTTAGGGGCACAGTATTAACGATGTACACTTAATATGTATTAAGTATATAATTGATTTTAATAGGTAAATAATAATAAAACAAAACATTAATATTTAGGAGAACAACACTACAACTTTTTTTACAATTTCTTCTTTTAGGTCACAATTTTTATGTGTGCATTCAGCGGTGTATGAGATATAATTGTTAAGGGATTTGACCATATATTTTCGACCCCCCCCCCCTTTTCATTTGATAGATCGAACTTACGATTAGTTAGAATTAAGTTACCTTTCATTTCACGAAATATATATGTTACGGTATATGTACACTTTTACCGTAAAATGTGTACATTTCCCAAGAAGTTAGGTATATGTGAACTGAATATAATGTATATGTACCTACATTTCCCGGCAAATGTGTACTCTTGCCTTCACGTTTTGGTAAATGTATCCTCTTACCTTCATGTTTTAAGAAAAGTTAGAATACAAATAAATTAAAAATGTTGTTGCAGTAAAAAAATATTTATGTTAATAAACATAATACAAAAGGCTTTAATAACGAAAATTATTTTAATTAAAAAATGTAAATGACAAACAAAACATATTTTTCTTTGCATATTATATAATATGTCGTAGGTTATGATCCCAATATTCATAAATACAATTTTCGTCATAGTTTTTTAGGACCAATACGACGGGAATCGAACAAACAATAATAATAACATAATTTTCTTTATTATAACAGTTAAATTTTATAAAACTATAATGAACATATAGAAATTTCATAATGAAAAAAGTTTTATTTATTTGAGCAACAATTGCTATTGTGGCACTTGGAATTACATAATATTCCAGCATTTATTTTTATTCCACATTACTAGGCACTTGCGATTTCGTATTTTGTATGCTCACATTTACCAAAACGACATGGTCATTGTGAATTCAATGTACATTTCCCTTCTTTGAAATTGTAAATGTTAGTTGAATGCACATTACCCAAACGAGGAGGCAAATGTGCACAATATCTACTTTTACCGTAACATCATCAAGGATTAGTATTTCATTCCAACAATATGGAAGCTATCAGTTTTGGATCAAAGCACTGCTTATTAGAAGAAGAAGAAAATTAGTCTACATAGGAAGAAAAATTGCATAGGGGCGCGCTATATTAAGAATGTCACCAAGTTGTCCCGGGAGGGGGTGTCGTACTTTGTTCCCGAGGCCTGTACATTATATTTCACCGTATCCCTACTGAAAGTACCATGATTTTTCCTGATTACAAGAACGAAAGGACAACATTATTTCTTAGGAAACTATTTCTTCGCTTGGAAATTGTTAACCGAGCCGAAGACATTTTTAATAATTGTTTAAACAATTTCGCTATAAACAAAAACGGACGCATTAGCCCATGTCAAACTGATTTTGCATATTATTTGGCATATTTCTAAAGAATTTTAGCAAAAAAAATAGTCTGAATAGTTTTAGATACTTATACACACTTATAATAAACCATTTATTAGTATGCACGGTGGTACTTGCCCTTGGTATAGCAGATTTTAACAACTTTTTATCATTCTTTTGCATAATACATTGCACGTGTCATTATTATTATAGTTAAATATTCTAATATTATTTTTTAATCCGAAAAATTATTGATGCTATTGAATTCGTAAAATACTCTATACATATTTCAAATAAATG